GCGCCCAGACCCAGGGTCTCGGGCTTGGGTGGGACAGGAGGAGAAGAACTCCAGGCAGGGAGGCTCCTCTCATTTCAGGGACATTGGTGGACACAGCACACGCACATCACACCCCGGCCGTCCACAGGGGCAGATCTTGAGCTGCCCATGGAGTAGGACCACGGATTCCCGTGGATGTGCCGCTCCACGGCAGTGACCCTGGTGGGAGAGGGTGGGGTGAGTGGGGCACATCTCGTGACTTCCGACTGATTTTGTTGTGACCTTAAAATGTCTCCAAAAAATAAAGTCTGTTACCCAGAGAGCCATTTGACCTGCAGCCTGCTCAGGCAGCTGGGAGCCAAGCAAGAGGCTCACTCGACTGGCCCACAGGGGTGGTCAGGGCTTTGTGCAGCCCTGACGGCTGCCCAATTTGTGTCTCTGTGTCCCACTCAGGGCCAGCTGGAGAAAGCCACAGTGCTCCCCACCCAGCCTCGCAGGGAGCTGGCCTGGCTGATACCCCTGCCACGCCCCACCCTGCTGCCTGAGGCTCTCTGCCTGCCCTTCCTTGGTGGCCTCTTCTACTGCCACAGTTCCTGTGCCCTCTGGTGGATGGCACTGTTGTGACCCCAGCCCTGTGACCCCGGGACCTCTGTGTCAAGCGTTGTCTGCTGCTGTTAGCATTGTGAAAATCCCATCCTACTCTGCTCTGTCTCGTGGGCTTCCTGGGCCTTCCTGGGGTCCTGGGCCCTTGGGACCAGGGGGCTGAAGCTTCAGTCCAGGGCAGAGGAAGAGCCGGCTCCCTCCCCGGAGTCCGGGTGGAGGCCCCGGCCACCTCTGGAAAGCTGCTGGTTCCTCCCCCTGTAACTGCACATTCCATTTCCGAGGCCCCAGCTGCAGGCGGAGCTCACCCCTTGATTCCTGAATTAGACCAAGCTGTGGGCAGCGTCCTTGGTGGTGGCCGGGGGAGATGCAGGCTGCGGCCCCATTGAGCACCCTCTGCGGCAGGGCGCCCCGTCTTGGGTCCTCACGCCCACAGGGCAGCCCCCCAGCCCTGGCCACTGCACTCTAAAGGAGGAGACATCTTGATCCGGGAGCTTTGGCTGCCGTGAGAAGCAGGACTGACGGCCCTGCGCAGCTTCCCGGCCGCCCACCCGCCCGCCCACCCGACGCACTCGCGCTTGGCCGGCCGGCTGAAGGAGATGAAAAAGAACTTCTTTCCCCAGAAAACAGATTCTTCATTGACACTTTTTTTTTTTTTTTTTCCTCCTGTAGGTTTTTTTCCCCGTTCCCAAAGTGGGTCCTTTTTCCTCGGCCTTTTATGCGAGGAACCACTGCGGGACAAAGTGTCCTTGTCAGCAGTGTTCCCAGGCTGCTGCTCTCCTGTCCTCCGCCCACAATGGGACCTTTATCAGCCGCTCAACGGCCGGGATGTTTCCTGTCCCCTCCAGGGCTAATGAGCAGGGAGGCTGCCAGGCAAACAAAGTGGGGAGGTTTTCACTTGACTGGAGCCCTGGCGCGGGGAGCCCCAGGCAGGGCCTTTCTAGGGGTGTCGGACACTGTCACTCCATCGCTGTGAGTGACTTTTGGGAGCTCGGCCATCCATCAGTTTTGTGATTCACACCATTTGTCCTCAAGCATGGAACCCTGGTTCCCAGAGAGGAGCCTTTCAAGCCATCTTAGGGCCCCAAGCTCCCCGAGAAGCCCGCCTCTGCCCATCGGAGCTTAAGTCCTCAGCGACACTTGGTCAATCATGCCAGGAAGGACCCCCCTCCCCCCAGGCCTGCTCTGGGGAAGGCACCAGGCTCGCCAGCCAGCGTGCTCAGAAAGTGAAAAGGCTCAGAGCCCCAGATTCAGGCCTGGAGACCCCGGGGCCAAGATCAAGCCCCATTTCTTCCTTTTCTGGCAGGGGCTGGAGCTAGTGCCTAGGGGACCCCAGCCCCCCAATTCTGAGGGCTTTCATCACAGCATGTCCTGGTCCCTTGGTGGCCTTGGTATTTCTGGAGCCATGGTGAGGGATGGGACTCGGCAACCTGCTACACCTCCAGCCCGCCACGCCTGCAGTAATTCCTGGGGGGCCTTACGAGAGCTGACTTTGTCAGCCAAGCCCTCGGTTAGGTCTCAGGGTAATGCCTATGCCCCACCTGGGCTGCCTGCCAGGAGGGGAGGAGCTGCAGGGAGGATGGAGGACTGGCCTGGGTTCTGAGGGTCCTCCTGGTGGCCAAGGGTGGGTCCCCAGAAAAGGTACAGCAGGACTTGAGGGTGGGCAGGCTCCACCCCAGCAGGGGCGCCCCCTTCCTGGGAATGAGCTGAACCGGCCACCCTGAGGGTCCAAGCTGAAGGGTCAGTGTTATTATCAGCCTAGAGTCACTGCATGGGGACAGGGCGGACTTGACGCTGACCGATGCTGCCTACAAGCTGAACTCCACCAGGCCAGCCTTGGGGAGCTTTGAGGTGAAGCAAAGAAGTGGGGGCTCAGCCCAGAAGCCTGAGGTCTCCCTGCAAGAGGTGGCAGGGAGAGCTGAGGGGATAGGTAGAGCCCCTGGGTGGTGTGGCTGTGGAGGTAAAGGTGGCCAGGGCTGCAAGTGCAGGGGCCTTGAGGGACTGCGTGAACTTCTGTGTGGCAGGAAGTAGAGGGGGACCTCTGTGGGGAGCAGTTTGACTTCCAGACCTGGCCTCAGACCTCTTGGTCAGCATAGACTGAGACTGGGGATCAGTCCTACCCCAAGGAGGAGCACCCTGCTGGAGGCTGGAGGGGCCCCCGAAAGAGGCTACCCTGTTCCTTGCAGCCCCAGGGCCTTTGCTCAACCCTCCCTCCCACCTGCCAGCATGGCTTCAGGCCTTCTCCAGGGGCAAGAGAGAGCGGGTACCAGGGCACCGTCTCTGCAGAGGCTGTGGTGGGGCCGACCCTTGGGAAGCCTCGGGGCGGACTGCAGATGAGCCTGCCAGCCACCTCGCTGGGAAGGGAAATCCCCAGTGCCAGAGGCCTTGGGCTCTGCAGGTCTGTCGGTTGGCACAGCTAGAGGCCTTGGCCTGGGCCACACCCACTCGGAGGCCAAGCAGGGCAGCAGTGACCTCTGCAGCTCACTTTCCTCTAGGAGGCGGACAGCCCCGCCGGCCGAGCTGGGCACAAGGTCTTGGCATGCGCTGGACTCCTTGGTCCGGGCTGGGCGCTGGGGGCCTGGGGCCTGGCAGGGCCGGGTCTCCCGCTGCTCGCCCACCCAGCAGCCCCTCCCTCAATGAAGCTCGAAAGCCCCAAGGCTTAGAAAAGCACACAGGTTTATTGCATATCAATCTCATGTATAAACTCATTGTAGCATCGGAAAGATTACATTTGGTATCCAGTCCTACTCTACAGCATGAACCTCGGTCAGCAGCTCCTAAGCTTTTACCGTAAAGGAATTTCTCTACGCAATACGTTTGTCTTTGTCACAAGCCTCAGGATGAGCTTTGCACAGCTGCTCTTTGATCACCGTCTGCATGTCTCTCCGTTCCTCTCCCAGCAAGATTTCTGCACGGGAACGGGCCCTCGCGCGGGCTGCTGCACGGGGCTCTAGTCTTGCCGTGACCCTAATCACACATTCGAGTGCATCTACGGAATTGTCCTTGTCATAAAAATTTCATGAACAGACACCATAATGACCGCGAAACACAAGCCATGCAGTTTACTCATAAACACAACAGAAGCAATTTACAGGGGGTGGGGAAACACCGGCCTCCTTCTCGATTTTTTTTTTTTTGTTGTTGTTGTTTAAAACAATATGCGAAAAGCAGACATTTACATTTGATTTTGTTTTCAACACTGTACAGTTCTAAAAGAAACAAAACAAAACAAAAGCCAAAGACAGAACTAAATCAAATTTGAATGCAATGGTGGTGGACGGGCAGGTTCAACCCTGCGGATGTATTCACACACACACACACACACACACACACACACACACACACACACGCTTCCCCCTACTGGGGATGTGCGTGTGTATGCACAGACTTTCAATCACACATGTGCTGGTGCCCAGCTCCGCAGCCTGTACTCTGAAGAGAGCTGCCGGCTTCGAGGGGTGTGGAGGGAGTCGCAGAACTACCTCTGTCCACGACAGATGCGCACGAGCTGCCTTTACTTATTATATTTTCCCCCCAAAAGTGGTCATGCAGATCAGTGACAGAAAAGGATAAAACGAACAAACAAAGCAACGGCATAGGAAAGGGAGCTCTTCTCCGAGCAACGCAAGAACATCTTCGTCACAGTATCACCCGATGCTACAGTTTCATGGCTTCTTACACCCGGCTGGCTCCTCGGCCCGAGCAGCTGCATCTCAGGGTCCCCGGCGCCCTGCCCCCCTGCTCGGCCACAGGGCATGGCGAGCCCTCCCCCACCTCAGAACAGCACAGTGAATACAGCTCAGTAGATTTCAGCCACTTGGGCAGGGAGACAGGGACAGGGCCACAATCCAGTGCTTCGTGGCTTCGTGTCTAGAACACGTGCTATGTGCTTAGGAAGGGCTTTGCGATCACTCCAGGGAGGCCACAGGGGCAGCGAGAGCCGAGGCCCTGAGCCGAGGCCCCGAGTTTGCAGGGCTGGACTGGGGGCACCTGGCTCGGGTCCATCAGTGCCTGACAAACCAGCTGTACTTGGCCTTGAGGAGGCACCACCACACACCCCTGGGGTGTGTCTGGGGACCTTCTGGGTGCCACCTGTCCCACCCAATTGTCTGGGAATGACAGTGGTGGCAGGGCACGTGGGGCCAGGTGTGGAGGGCAGGCGCTAGGAGGTCTCCGGCTAAAGATCCGTTTTTGGCTGAGTGCCAGTCATCTGAAGGGTCAGGGCGGCAGTCTAAGGAACCTGGCTGCATGGGGTCCTGGCTTGGAGCCCCAACCCTGGCCACTATTCTCAGGTAATGGTCAGCAGGTCAGCTGTCTGGTTCACCTCTGCCCATGCTGCCAGTGGACATGGCCACCTGTGGCGGTTTCTGGAAAGCTCCCGCCCCACCTGCCCCTCCCACCAGCCCCCAGCTGGTCTCTGGGAAGACACAGGGCCTGAGGGTGGTGGGCACATCTGGGCAGAGAATAGCAGGGGGTGGAGCTGGCAAGGTTGGGGGCATGGCGAAGTGTGGAGACCACGTTTCAGGGCTGTCCCAGTGCAGATAATAAGTGCTTTTTGATCAGGGGTTCAAGATCAGAGTCCCCCAAAATACTAAGTGCTGCAGCCTGAGGGGCTGAGTGTTCCAGAAAAACTGGGCTTTCAATCACCACTTCCAGGGGACAAAAATATAGGACTTAAAGTCCAACCAGAGCTCCTGGGTAGGGGGTAGGAGGGTGGGAAGACAGTGCTGGGGGTCAGCCTGGAAGGACAGAGCTAGGCGGGGGGCTCCAGAGAGCAGTGAGTGGGCTCTTTCTCTCTGCCACAGCCGCCAAGCTGCACTGGGCCTCATCACACCTCCCGCTTTGGAGAGCCACATCGCAAAAAGAAGCACACACCGTTTTCTTTCACAGAAGAAGTCATATAATTTGGGTTTACAGAAATGGGGTGTTTGTGTCTGACGGACTTTTACAGGGATCCCATCTAGATCAAGAGGTAACTGGAAACTCCTATGACGGTGCCCGGCAGGCCTGGGTGCCACGTACACTTGTGCAGAAGCGAGGGCTCGTTTGAAAACCCTGGTGGACGGTGGCGGCGGCTGGCTCCCGCACGGCCTGTCCAGTCCGTGTGCCCTGGGGGGCTCTCCGTCTTGCCTCATCCCTTGGTTTAGCAGGAGACTTTTCCCCATGATCTTTGGGTCTTCGTGGTCCATGGAAACCTCCCTGGCTCAAGCCTCCAGCCTTCAGGGCAGCCTCGCTTGGCCCGGCCTAAGGCATGCGACTGTCTGTGGTCCAGTGTGCCTGGGACGTGCGTGGGACAGGCCCTGCTGCCCCCGGGGACAAACACTGATAGACATCCACAGCATGACACAAATCCACACAAACGTGGCCTGTGGCACGATAGTCGGAATTTCTGTCTTCTTTGTTTAAGGGCAACTTGGGCAACTGTTTTCTTCTCTTCTTGAGACGTAACACTCATTACGTTTCTTTTCCAAACAATAAAATAAATAGAACACTTGTCTTAAATGCAAATGCGACTGAAACTCAAATTTAACAAAAACATATGATTGTCTGATAAATGGGCAGCAGTGACAGCAGGATTCGCGGGGGCACGCAGGGGTATTTGGCACATCTGAAGCCGCCCCACTCCCTGGCGACTGATCGCACAACACACCTTATTACACGGTTTTGGTCCTTCACTAGATACTTATATTAACATTATTTCTTCACAATAAGAATGTCTAATGTCAAAAATACTGTTAAGGAAAAAATAAAATAAGAAAAGAAATGAATTAGAAAAAAATTACAAGTTATATACAGATTAAGGTAAATTCCATCAGGGAAGAGAAATTACTATTCAAAACTGGCCCCTATGGGAATAATTTAAAGCCCATCCAAAGGGAGGAGACACATCCAGAGGGAGACACTGGAGGTCCCGAGGGCTGTGTCCACCATTTGTGCCAGGTCCCTGGACTCTTCTGTCCTCGATTTTGGCCTGCCAAGAACCTGCACAAAGAATGGAGATGGTAGCCGTGGGGTTGACCCAGAGTTTCAGGCACAGTAGCGCTTGGCGTCCTGGAGCAGGGCAGCTTTGGGGGCCCTGGCTGGAGGCCTGGGGGGACCTTCCCGCTTTGGGTGGGAAGCTGAAGAACAGAAAGCTTTCGGGAGAACGGAGGCCAGGGCCAGCCTGGGGGCGGCCGGGGTACAGACGGGGCGCCTGGCCCCACCTCTGCATGGAGGACCAGAGCCCTGCAAAGCCTCCATACGATTGGGGGTCCTTGGGTGGGGCCTGTGGACTCCTCCGCAGGAAACTCGGGGCGCCTCGGGGCTCCCAGCCGAATCTGCATACTGTTGGAAAGACCGATGGTGCCCCTCATTCCGTTCCCAGGGCACCCAGAATCACCTTGGCTTGTACAAACAGGATCAGATATAGAAAATTCTCCATTATCTACAGTATAAAGGTCACACCCGAGCCTGGTGTGGTCGCCCCCCCCCCAGGCTCGGGTTTGCAAATAAGCTGAAATTTCAAAGCAATGGAAAAATTACTTTTAAAAAACAATTCGCAAGTCATTCTTTTGATTTTTAAAAAATACTGTCTATTTTTAAAACCCACATGCTTAAATAGACTCTGTAGTCAATACGATTACCAAAAGGGTTATTCTCGTCACTTTCATTATGAAAATCGTTGGCGAGAGAGAGCTCCATCCTCGGCGCACACTGCGTTTCTGCCCTGGCTCTGTGCCTCGCAGGTGCTGGCGGGGGCTGCGGGGGCTGAGACTTCACGCCGGCCCTGCGGTTGGTCCTCCAGGCAGCTCCTGTGATGGGGTCTTTGATGGAGTGCTGTCCTTGGGACCGGTTCTCAAAGACAGGGCAGCCCAGCCTCTGCTTCCTGGACTTCAGGTTCTGAGTTTTCACTGGAATAGTTAGCACTGGGCCGAGGGGGGCAGAGGGGGCTGCACACGAGTGTCGCTGAGGCTGGCGGGCTTCTCCCTGCCTCCTGCATCCTGCAGCAGATGCTGACTCTGGACTCTGGTCCTGGGCTCCCGGACCCTCAGAGGTGGTTCATGGGGTTAAAGGCTGAGGACTCTGATGTGGCTCCCGTGATGTTCAACCAGGCGCCCAGCGAGCTCTGTGAGGGGGCGTGGAGGGGCGTGTCCTCGGAAAGGGACAGCATCATTGCATATGCCTGGGAGGGGAGGGACACGGAGGGCAGGTGAGCAGGGCCAGGGCAGCAGGGCCAAGCTGCCTGCCTGCTGCCCCTGGCTTGGACAAAAGTGGGCACCGGGGGCAGAGAGGCCCACACTCCCAAGCCCTGGAAGAAGGTGCCTGTGGGGGCGGTGAGAGCAGGAATCGAGGCCGCGCCTCCAGCCCAGACTGGTGCCGGGACCCGTGGCCTGGCTGGGGCTTTTGGGCACACTGGTTTCCTCTTTGGCCCTTGGCTGTGCCTGCTGACTGGCAGTCACTTTCCACCTCCTTTCCCTGCCTGGAAAAGCTTGATGGTGGGGGTCAGCCCTGGCAAGTGGGGCCATCAGCATCAGGCCTCATGCCACGAGAGTCCCACCCACCTGCTGCTGGCCGGCCGTGTGACTGGACAGAGCTATTTCTGGAAAGGGAGAAGCTCACGGAAGTGTCAGGAGCTGGGGTCGCTTCCCAGCCTTAGCCAGCCTGGGGACAGCCTTTTGTCCCAAGCCCCAGGGTGGAAGGGGAGGGGACCCTCTAAGCAAAGAACGCAGGTTAAGGGTGGGGTGTGGACGAAGCTGGCACTGATGCTGCAGGCAGACACTCTGGACAGAATTAGTAAGAGACGCAGACAGACATGCAGACGGCTCTTGCTGAGACACGGGGCTGGCAGGGTTGCGAGTGCAGGCAGGTGGCCCCAGTGCCTCGGGCCAAGGGGACCCCACACCCAGTTCTGCTTGGAGGCAGCGACCCCTGGGCAGAGCAGCTTCCCGGCAGAAGTGGAGGCTGCTGGGCCATCTATGGTGGGGTCAGGCAATAGGCTGTCCCAGGCAGCTGGTGGGCTGCACCTGTATGTGGACACTTCCCTCTGGGGAGGGGCAAGAAGAAAGTGGCCCACACTCAGTGTCTGGGTCCGGTTTACACCCGTCTGCTCTCAACCTTGCTTGGCCCAGGCTACCAAGAGGGCAGTGGTCCCTGGGCTCCTTGCTAGCTGCTGTGGGGGCGCGGGCGCGGTGTCCCGAGTCTCTCTGGCCAGGAGTCTCTGCGGCCTCTGCCACTGAGCCGGTGGAGCAAGGTGGGCTCTGAGGTACCTACCTGGTTCTTAGCCTGCCTGTACAGAGTCTGTTTTAAAGCCTCAGAATCTAAGGTGGAATTAAGCGCATCTTTAGCTTCAAAGGCTTCCTCAGCGGCTCTGCGGAGGTCTAGCCCCTTCCCAAAGGCTGGCGCAGGCTCCAAGGCTAATACACTGCCTTCTCGCTCCTCAACACACCTGCACCAAGGACCAGGAGAGGGGCCTGCGGTTACGGTTCTGCACCCCCATGCGCACCACGGGTCTCTACAAGCCATATGCACGAGGGGACAGACACACGGACACACGGACACCTGGGGGAAAGCCACACGGATGCGGAGAGCGATACAGAGGGCTGTGTGCGTGTGTGGCTGGCACGGGTGACAGGCAGGGCCCTGGTCTCAGAGGTGGGGGCTGGGAAGGAGTCCGATTCTCTGAGGCCCTGGCCACTTTGGAGGGGCTGGGGCTCCCCTCCCAGGACCTGAGTGCTGAGGAGGAAGCAGCACCTTGGGCAGCCTCTGCAGGGCGGTACTGAGGCTGGATGGGGCAGGAGCAGCTGGGACTTGAGGCGGTGGCTCTGGCCTGCGCTGAGCCACACGGGGCTGGAGCCAACTTGGCAGGGAGCAGCCTCCCTCCTGCAATCATTCCCTTTAGCCTCTCAAAGGCCACAGCACTGTGGGGTGGACATGTCCTCAGGACTAGCAGTGGCTGCCCTGCTTAGCAGGGAGCCTGGGCTGGAGGAGCTGAAGGACAGGGTGGCCCCACCAGGCTCAGGTCCCCTCCCTAGCCAGTCCCCTGTGTGTGGCCCAGGCATCCCACCTGCGGGTGTGATCAAAGCCCACGGCCAGGGCAGCAGGTGGTTCCTCATCTTCCTCATCCTCATAGACACCCTGGGGCTCGGGCGTGGGGGACACCATGTCGTCCTGTGACTTCCCAGCCAGGCTGTCCTCGTCCTCCTCCTCCAGGTCCTCCTCTTCCTCCTCCTCCACATCCTCTGGCTTCTCACTGGCCAAGCCTGGGCACTGGGGGTCGCCGTCCAGCTCCTGGATCTCTGGCCTGGAACCAGGGAGGAGGTTGGCTGCGTTTGGACCCCCGGGCCAGCGGCGAAGTGCTGCGCAGCCCCTGCCGGTGGCCCCTCAGCCCTCCCTGCCCTTCCCGGAGCTGGCGCTCCTGGCCACCCAGCACTGCATGGAGCTCTGCGCTTCCCCAGCTTCCCCTCAGCCCCCGGCAGCAGGTGGGAATGAGAGCGGGACAGGACCCTACAGTGGACAGCATGTTCTTCAGGGCTTGCAGCCACATCGGGTGTCAAGGAGGGAGCCGTGGCTGGGGTGCCTGAGAAGTGGTCCTGCACCAGTGCCAGGCTTGGGCACTGCCAAGGGGCACCCTCGAGAGGCTGGGGTGGAAAGGCTTTCAGGCCACGCCTTGCCTAGGGCCTGGCACTGCCCATTTGTGCCTCTCCTCTCCCCTCCCCCACCAGGAGCCTGGGTTGGGGGTCCTGAGGCGCAGCACGGAGCAGGTTCTGTCACTTTTTTTAAAAAATGTATTTAGTACATGGTCTGCAGGGTCTCACTACACAGATTGGACTCATAGTGATCCTGTTTTCAGCCTCCCAAGTGCTGGGATTACAGGCGCGCGCCACCACGCCCGGTCTCAGGGAGCAGGTTCTGGAGGGTGAGGCCCAGGGCCCCCCCACTGGGCTGCGTGGCTGCAGAGTGCACTGGGCCTCCTGCAGCACACGCCCCAGACCCCGGCACACGGCGGAGGGTGCCGTCAGGGCCTTGTCCACTCTGCTTGGCCTCCTCATTCCTACAAGAAGTGGAAGGCCAGGCCTGGTGCCACATGCCCCACTCAGGGCCACATAGCAAGACCCCCATCTCAAAACAAACAATAAATCTCAAGAAAAGGGCTGGGGGTGTAGCTCAGTGCAAAGGTCCTGAGTTTAACTCCCAGTAGCACCAAAGAGAGAGAGAGAGAGAGAGAGAGAGAGAGAGAGAGAGAGAGAGAGAGAGCGCCCAGGTAAGAGTCCAAGAGCAGAAGCACCACCCAAGCCAGCTCCTATCCCGGGCACAGCCACAGCCCGGGACAGTGATCTGGGACCTGCAGCCCCTGGGCACAGCGCGCTGGCAACTGGACGGCCCTGCCCCTGTGCTGCTCCTGCCCCAACACCTCTGAGGTGGTACCAGGTGGTACGTGTAACCTCAGGGAGACACGGGGTGCCTCTTGCCACCAAGGATAGCATCTCTGCAGGCTCAGCATGGGGTGCAGAGCCTGGGGGGCCACATGGACAGGGCCTCAGCTGGACCCCCGAGGTTTGCAGGAGCCATGCCTGTCCTGCCCTCTGGGATGGGTGGGGCCTCTGAAGGTTCTGGGGCCCAGGAGGCAGCCCTTGTCACCCATCCTGCACAGCAGCCTGGGTCCCCGTCCTGCTCTGTCTCTCAGTGGGGTGACTCTGGAGCCTAGGCCTGTGGGAGCAGAGCGTGTGGCCCTCTGCGTCCCATGGTGGCCAGGTAGCTAGGTGCAGGCTGAGCACTCTCATGGCCCTGGGTAGCCTTGGGGCTCTATCCCTGTCACTGGGGAGCTGGACAGTGGGGAGCATTCCTTTCCTTGCTTGTGGAGTGTGGCATCCACAGCAACAGCGCGGGTCCTGGCTGGGGATGAGATGGCACCTCAGCCTGCGACATAGCGCCCCACCAGCGCCGCTCACAGTACGGAGGCTGCGGCTTCCAGAGCTCAGGAGGCAGAGGCTGAGGTCATGGCACTGGTGTCCCTTCCCGCCACGCTCCCAGGGGGCCTATCCAGGCCCCACTCAGCTTCTGGTGTTCCCGACAGCCCTTGGTACCCCTGGCCAGCAGATACGTCATGCTGAGCTCTCACGTGTGGCCAGCGCTTTCTTCACAGGGACCCCAGCCCTACTGGACGAGCAGCCCCCAGCCTAGAGCGGCCACCTCTGCGAGGACCCAGTGCCCACACAGGCACACCAAGGGAAGGGACAGGTTCTGAACAAGAACCAGAAGACTTCAGTCCTGGCCCCACACAAGGCTGCCAGCGCCTCCACGAGGCCGGCTGTGGAAAGGCGACAGTAATTCAGGGACAGTAATGAGAGGTCCCTGGCTCTCAGGGCCTGGTGACCTTTCCTCAGCAGGACTGGCTGTCTGAAGGCTGAGCCTCTCTCGTTCTGTTGTTCCCCAGCTGGGGGGACAGCCCTGTCAAAATGCTGCACAACAAATGAGGGGTCAGGACGGTGGGAGTGCGGTACCGAGGTACATGCTGTGAGGCCCAGCTGCCCCTTTTCCTTCAAGAGTCTCCAGGGGCTCACTACGCTTCCCCGGTGCCACGGGTGGGGCGTCAGGGCTCTGGCAAGGCTGCATTCTTGGCTCTGTGGAAGTGAGGGGACCTCACTGCGGAGCCTGTCTTCCCCAGGACGCCACATGAACTGCCTGCCATCCCTACCCTGGGACAGTGACAAGGAAGACACAGGCCTAAGCTGGAGGGGCAGCTGGGCCTGGCACTGGGGTCAGGCTCGGGGATCCTGCCCGCTAGAAGTCGGGGTGCTGGGCCTCATGTCATGGCCAGTATGTAAGGCCGCAGCCGGCTGCAGGCTCGGGGCTGGCCTGGATGGAGGCAAGGCCCTTCCGGCTGTGGCCCTCCAAGGGGTCCCTTCCTGTGGCCTCTTAGGGTCTGCAGCATGTCTGCCTCTTGCAGCTGCTCTGGCACCAGCTTTGGCCCAAGAACAGTCCCTTCCTGGGTCCCCAGCGCCTTCCAGATACTGAGCTCTGGGGGCAGGGAGGTCGGAACACCTAGAAGTCCTGGAGCCGGGCCCGGCCATCCTCCGCCTCCCTCTGGAGTGTGTGCATGTGTACACACATGTGGGCACACACAGGCACCGCATGCTGTGCGTGTGCATGCGCACAGGTGTGCCGCCCTAGTGCACCTGTGCACAGTGCACTTGTGTGTACTGCAGTGTGTGCGTATGCACGTGTGTGCACAGGTGGTCTCAGACTTTTGGACTTTAGGAGGGTGAGAAGGTGAAACCCACTTAGCAGGGCCCTCCCTCTGGTTCAGGTCTTTCTCCAGCAGCCATGCTCCATACAATACTTACTAGTGACACTGGGTGGCTGGGGGGCAGGACAAGCGTTCTGTCACACACTGCACAGCCAGCCTTGAGATGCAGGCGTGTAGGAACTAACAGGGCATCCTGCGCTGCCATTAGCGGGCTTTGTGCGAGGTGGATGGGCCCAGCCGAAGGCTCCATGTGCCCCTCGGCTGGCCACACAGGAGGTGGGGGCTAGCAGCAGTGGACGAGCGTGTGGCTCACAGCAGTTCTGACTCCTGATGGGTTTGTCAGGTGTGGCCTCATTATAAATCGAGGTGGCTCTGCCTATGTGGATGTGTCCACATGTCCACCTGTGACCAGCAGGGGCGCCCCACACTGGGCCAACAGGCACTGGCTGTGGAGTACCTGGTCGGGCTGGGGTGAGCACATGCCTCGCCCTTGGCTCCGGGCCTCCGGCTCTCTTGCGGCCGCATGCAGCCTTTCACAGGAGCGCCTGTCTCAGGGTTCCCTGGCCACGCGGGGTTGCCCTCTCACCAGCCCTGCAGGCGGAGAGCCTGCGGCACGGGGGTGGAGGAGCTGCCCACCTGCCAGTGCCCGCTGGTCTCTTACCGTTTGTCTGTTCTTGTGGACGCCTGGTTCATCTCACTGTTGGCGATAAAGTTTCGGATCTCGGAGAAATAGGAGTCTTCCTTCTCATCTAAAAGTGCGTGGTTGTCTGACTCTGAGGTGGGGGAAGAGGCGCTGGTGCCCAGGTGGTTGGCGAGGACCCCGGCGTGCTGGCCCACTGGGGACAGAAAGACGGACAGGCGGCGTCAGGCTGTCCGCTCCGGCCGCCCTGCGGAGCGGCTCTGGGGCGTAGCCGGCCGCCCACCTGGTGCGCCCTCGTGTTCGTGCTTCTTGAGGTGCCGGTCCAGGTTGGTCTGCTGGCCGAAGCAGCGGTTGCACAGGTGGCACTTGAAGGGCTTCTCCTTGTTGTGGATGTTGCGCACGTGCCGCTGCAGGTTGGAGGAGATGCTGAAGGAGCGGTCGCAGTACTTGCACCTGGAAGATAGGGCCGGGGCGGCGCGTGGGACGGCGTCCGCAGGGCCCGGCCTTTCCCCGAAGCTGCGGGGCGCCCAGGTGTGGGGGCGGCAGCTCCTCTCTCCGGCCCGGGCTTCAGGCCCACGTGCTACTGGCAGCCACAAGAGGGCGACCTTGTACCATGAAAAGATGCCAGAGCCGCTTCGGGTTCCCAGGTGGAGTCGGGAGCCTGAGGCCGGCTCTGGCTGCTTCGTCCGCAGCTCCCGAGGGAAGGCCAGGCCCAGCTGTCCCCTGTGGCCAGGTCCGTGGTCTGTCCAGCCCCTTCTGACTTGGGCCTCTGGGTGGCGATCCACTAAGGCTCCTACCTGCCCCCCCCCCCGAGGGGGGCTTCCCGCCCTGCTGCCCACCCAGCTGAGGATGGTGCCCTGCCATGCACACCTTCAGGCCTCTCGAATGCACCCTGCAGGCGGCAGGGCCTCCCCAGCCTGCACCTTACACTTGGGAAGCTGAAAGGTGGCCCACGGGACTCCCAGAGCCAGCACCATCCTGCCCACTGCTTGCCCCAACCAACTCCGTGGTTGCTGCACACGTGGGTGCCGTGCAGTGTGAGTGTTCCCATGCGCCAGAGCACGCTCGTGGGCCCTGACTGCTGGGCCTCCACAGGGCTTCTCTGAACCCGACGGTGGAAAGCCCGTGGGAGTCCTGTCTCTGTGATCACGAGTCTTCCTATTTGCAAAGACGCAGCCTCTGCTACAGCCACAGTGGTGCTTGGCCTACCCGGCTCCTGGGGGTGGGACCCGCACAGCCTCCGTGGGGCCAGAACAGGGCTCACACCCCGAACACCCTGCCCTGCACTCTGGCAGGAGGTCCAGGCTGTCACGCGCCTCCCTCTCTGACTCGATGCTAGTGGCCTGGTCCAGGGCCGAACGCCAGTCGCCAGCCCTCACGTAGGAAAGGACTTGCATGCCAACACAGGGAGGGAGGGCCGTGCAAGAGTGGCCTTCACTGGGCCACACAACATCAGAGGCCTGGAGCAAGGCCACGGGCTGGCTGGCCATCCCAGCTGACCTCTGAGCTGCCCAGTGACAGACCCCAGAAGATGGGAAGCATCCCCGACCCCAGCCCCATGTGCTTCCTGGGGCCACCCCATCAGTGCTGGGGCTGGGGCTCCCTGGCCTGGCCTGAGGCTGGGCCCCGCGGCTTGCTCCGACTTCTCTCAACTCCAGCCCCTGTGTGCCTCACCGGGCCTGGGCAGTGCCCATGTGCTGAATCTCCCAGGGGTCAGCAGGGTGCCCTCAAGGCATGTGGGTGTCCCAGGAGCGCTGGGCCCCCAGCACCACGATGTATGAGTTGTGGATTGGTGTGAGGGTACGGGGCCTGGGTCTAAATCTGGGGCCGGAGGGGCTGTGTACTCCCTCTGGCTGCAGGGTCTTGACCATGGCCTCTCCTAGTTTTAATTAAAATAAATGGCCTGGGCAGCAACGTCCACGTGAAATTTAGGGGGCAGTGGGCCCTGGGCTAGGAGGGACCAGAGTGGCTGGCAGCTGGGAGCTGAGCTGTAGCTAAGCTGCCAGGGGCCCAGGGAAACCTACAGCTGCGCTAGCAGAGAGACAGCACAGGAAAGAGAGCAGGCGGGCAGCCGCAGCGCCTGGCAGAGGCCCCAGGGAGCTCGAGAGGGACCCCTGGGGCGGGGCAGGTGGAGCCACCCCTGGGCAGCAGTGTCCTCCCTGGGACCAGCGGGTACTGCCAGCCATCACGGGGTGGGGCTGCTTTAGGTCATTGTAAAAGGAAGGGAAGGGAAAGAAGGAACTTTGGCTTGGCCTTAAAATAAAATTAAACAAGGAAGAAGACAGGTAAGGGGCACTTGCAGCCCCTCTCCGACAGGCAGCTTGCCTCTGAACAGACGCAGCGGGGTTGGAGAAGGCATGGCACAGTGCTCACTGGGGTGTGGTCCTCGGAGGGGAGCCAGCAGGAGGGGCCCCAGGCCAGTGTCCAGGGCTCCCTCTGGGTGTGGGGGAGGCACAGGCACCACCAGCAACCGGGAGATGCCACAGCATCTGGGGACTGTAGGCGGCATGCCCCCCATCCCCAACTCAGCCCTACCCCTTTCCAACTGAGTCCTGCGGATTCTCCGTGCTGGATTTGTACACAGGGTGTCACTCGCCACACCCACCCTCCACCTTCCCCCTGAGATCTCAAGCCTGGAACAGCTGAGAGCAGAGCTCGGCTCCCTGGCTGCACCGTAGGGTGGGGCAGGGAGGCCTTTTCCTCCAGGGAGAGCAGGACCCCCGAGGAGGGTGTGGAGACATGCTCTGAATGCTTAGATAAGCCGAGCGAGGGCTTCAAAGAGAGAGACTTGCGGTTCACTTACCCCGGAACCCCAAGAAAGCCTGTGGATGAAGGGCCTGGGTGCTCCCGAGCACACATGGACAGGCCAGGCACACACACACACACGCGCATGCCTGGGACCTGATGTGTGCGTGCACTTGCAGAGGGTGTGCGTGTGGGTGCTGCCATTGAGGTGGCGCTCCCACGTGGGTAGGCGGGGTGGAGGGGGCGTGCTCCTCTGTGGGACGGGCCCAGCACTGAGGGCTTCTGGGATGGACTGTGCGTTTCCCTCTTCCAAGCTAAAATCCTCCCAAGGGTCAGCGCAATCCCCGGAGCCACGCAGCATCAAACCCCTCCACACCGCCTGCCTCGAACCAGATAAAGGTTTGCAACACAAACTTGCAAAGCAGTTGTGGCTACCCAAGTCGAAGCTCTCAGATTGAGGAGAGCAAAAGAAATCAATGATAATTAAATTCTTCTATAAATTCAGCCTGGACCCTCTAGGGGTTCTTAGCACGCAAAACTGTCCAAAAGTCGGCTCTCATTACGGAGAAATGGCGCGACTTGCTTTCTCGGAGACACAGGACCACATCAATCTTTCTGTCGCCAGCCTTTGCAGAGCCGGCACTGCTTCGGGGGCCGGGGGGTCGTGTGCAGGAGGGCAGGCAGAGCATGAGGCAGCTGAAGCCTCCGCCAGGACTGCAGCCTGCAGGGTGCTCGGAGCGGCTCTGGGAGCACGTGCCTCCAGGGCCATGGGCCTGCCTCCCTCCCTCCCCGGGACAGTGCACAGCCGGGTCTCCAGGGCCTGTGTCATCCCGGGGTCACTTCCCGGTCACCCAAAGCTCAGGGTGGGCACAGTATAGGCCTCAGATGCCGTCAGCTTCAAACCAAGCCAAGTCCTTTCTTCCCCAGCCCTGCTGGGCAGACACGCCCAGGGTGTTACTGAAGCAGGTCTGGCAGAGAACCAGGCATTTCTCGTGTGTCTCAGGACGACAACCGCCTGGGCTACGTGGACAGGGTCCCCTCTGGGAGCGCGGGGCAGGGCTCCAGCCCCGCCAAGCCCCAGGGACACAGTGGGACAGGACGGCAGGTTGGGGGCAGCAGGGTGCAAGTCATTGTGTCACCGGCCTTGGTTCCTGTCTGGAACGAGGGTGGCAAGACTTGCAGGGGAGCTGCTCTGAACCCCAAATTCGATGACCACCTCCAGAGTGTAGCTACCTCCCCACCCCAGAGGTAGGAGTGAGGTGGGGCAGATGTGGGGCTTCGCAGCCGGGCTGCCCTGGACTTTCAGGCATCCTCAGCGCCCCAACCCAGGATGGGGGCCCACAGCGGTAGCCATTGGGAGAGGAGCAGAGAAGGGCTGGACCGGGCTCCTTACATCCGTCCTTGAGTGTGGGAGGCCCCTCGCAGAAGCTTTCTGGGTGCCTCCTGCTTCATCCCAACCTCCTGGGGAGTGGGAGGCCAAGGGCTGGAGCAGCCCAGAGAGCCGCCAGCCCCCAGGTCGGGCAAGGGCAGGCTGGCTGCAGCCATGTCTGCTCAAAGCAGGAGCTGAAGCCGCAGAGTCGCGACCTCCCGGGAGCCTGGCGTCCCCAGCACTAGGGCACCCCTACCTGTACGGCTGCTCCCCGGTGTGCGTCCTCAGGTGTCTGGTGAGGTTTGCCGACCTGGGAAAGATCTTGCCACAGTACCTGGGTGGACAGATACGCAGGAAGGAGGTGTCAGGTGACCTACAGCCCCTTTTCCTGACCTTCTTTCCATCTGGTACCCAGAACCCCCAGACTCACCCCTGGGTGCAGGTGTCCCCAAATCCCAGCCTTTTTGGCCCTGGGGCCCAGCTTTGATCTTACAGAGAAGTTAGCTGAACCATGGCACTGATGGACCAATGCCACCCAGTGGCATCACTGCCCCCAGCCCACACCATGTGGACAGCGCAGGCTCAGACCAGCTTGGACCACCTGCACAGCAGGGAGCGTGTACTCCCAGCAGCATGGCTAGCTGTCCCCAAGAGCTGTGGGCACATGTTGGCCCCCCTCAGGCCTCCTGGCTTTAGCTGGGTGGCAGAGGCTATGCGGCGGGCTCCCGGGAGCCCAGCTCTAACACGACAGAGCAAGACTTTGAGTGCACTTCAGGGCCACGATGAGCACCAGGCACCTGCCCGCCAGCCGAGAGGCCGCCTCACCTGCACGTGTACCGCTCCTTTCCCTTCCTGAGGATGGGGTCTGAGAGCGCGGAGGGTGGGGACCGGAAGCTGAAGGGGTGGTGGGGCAGGGGCTGCAGGGAGCTGCCTGAGTCAGCTTTCATGGCTGCGAAGCTTTCTAGCTTCTCCGTCATGGTCTCGATGGCTGACATCTGCAGGCACAAGAGAGGGGAGAGGTCAGGGACACTCAGGGACCAGCTGCCGCCCAGCTGCAGGGTGTGGGCCCCTCCTGGGCACCTGAGGGCTCTAAGGTTCAGCACGGCTGCAGGTGCTCGGAGGACCCAGGACATGTGGCCACCTTGCCTGCCCTGGGACCCTGGGTGTCATCCAGGTCTAGGCAGAGGGAGCTGGGCTGGCCTTCCATAACCAGCCAAGTTGAGGAAGGAAAGGATGGGGCCCTAAAAACCGACCCAGGTCAGCAGTGCAGCTGGCTGACTGCCAGCCCTTGTCCTCTAGTTCGGGTTACACACTGCACTCCTTTTCTGAGTCTCAGTTTAAAACACTGAGGGGGCCCCAGGGAACCACCACCACCTAGTGGCAGCACTCCATAATTGCAGGTAAATGGCAGCCCTTTAAGACAAGATCTCCCCAAAGCACATTCCAAACAATAACGCAAGGGTCATCACACCATGCAGGACAGTTGATATGGGCAGAGGGAACTGCCTCTGCTCCCTGGGGATGCCATGGGCCTGGTCGAAGAAGGAGGAGAGGAGCTGGTCGTTTTCATCTGGTGGACAGAGTTCTGATCCAAGCCCCTGACTGGGTGGCCTAGTGAGGTTTTGACCTTGGTGACTAGGGAGGAGAAGAGATGAGGGAGCCACTCAGGCCTCAGTGCTGCCCCCCAATCTCAGCTGCGAGTGCTTCGGGAGGGGAAGCTGGCCAGGGGCCCACGGGAAGGTGGGGTTTGAAATTCCGGGGACCCTGGAGTCACTGCATATACCTGTTGGGGTCCACACCTACAAGCTGCCCAGAGGGGCCCTAGCCTCAGTCAGGACACCAGCCACAAGGTGTGTGCTGGCCACCTGCACGTGCCAGGTAACCTCACCACAGCAATGACCTCTGTGCTTTGCAGGGATGGCCACAGGGGCTTCTGCCCCAGCGATGGCCCAGCCTCAGCCCACACTGAGTCATGCCTCCCCTGCCCCTTCCTTCTGGCCCTGGGCCACAGGGCAGGCAGAGGGTGGTGGACTAGGGGGGACCGGGCAGGACAGACAATGGGCAGCCGGCCCCCCGCGGGCCTCTCTTCCTCAGGCCTGGGTGGGTCCCGCCTGCTCGGCTGCTCAGCCCGATCAGATATTCCCGGCTGAGCTCCCCACACAAACACAAACACAGGATGCGCCTGGCTGGCTTGTCGGCTCTCGCAGCCCGTCCTGAGGAAAATCGAGGGAAGTTATTAAGCAAACCGCATGGCTCCCAGAAACAATGGGAGGCGCTAAGTTTAGCTGTGAACTCAGCCGAGGCCCAGGTTTCACAAGCTGCAGGTTGTCCACAGCGGGAAACGCCGAGGAGCCCGAGAACAATGCTGTGGTGGGCACAGGACTATGAGAGCGGCCTGAGCCCTCTGGGGAGTAGGGGGCAGGGACAGTGACTTGGGGTGCAGAAGGGCCTGTCCCACAGTGAGCTCAGGCAGTCTGGGGCACAGGACACCAAGGCGACAGCACGGTGCCGCCCTGCAGGGCGAGGCCTGGCTAGGCCGTGGGCCTGTGCCCGGTGTCCAGACCTCGGCATCCCGCTCCCAAGGAGCCCCTAGGTGGCCTCGCTCTCTGCCCCCTGAGAAGGGTGCCCCTCCATTCCTGCTGCCCCTCTACATAGCCAGCATGCTCAGCAAGCACCCAGGTGCCAACACAGCCATCTTAGTGCTCCGGGCTGCTTCTGGGAGTCTGTCCCTTCTTGCCCCAAACTCGGCCCCATCCCAGCTCTCTCAGCAGGCCACCAAGTTTGTGCCCCTGGCTGCCCCTCCAGAACCCCCTTTCTCCTCCTCCTGGCAAAAACAGTGTCTGTGGGCTCTCCAGGGAGGGCCCTGCCTCTGGAGACCTGCTGCCATGGGGCACCGAAGTGGGCCCAGAGGTCTTGGCCCCACACCTCCCCTGGGGTCCTGCCACCTGCGTGGGTTTTACCTGGGGGTGGAAGAGCAGCGGGGATGGCCGCAGGTACTTCTCCCTCAGGACACCCACGGGGTCCGTCACCTTCCGCTTTTCTACCCTGCTGGACAGCAACACAGGGGTTACGTACCCCACAGAGCCACGGCCACCCCAGTGTGTGGCTGCTCCCATGTGGCCACAAGCCAGCTGCACGGGGCACTGCCATGCCACCTGCACCTCTCACCTGACTCTTCTGTCACCTGCTTGGGCTCCCAGGCCCTCTTGCCCTATCTCACCCTGCAAGGCCCCTCTTCCTGCCTGTTGCCCTCGGGCTCCTGCTCTCCTCTGTGTGCTCACTTGCCAGCTCCCGAGCACATCAGGGGCCAGGCAAGCTCAGAGTGGGGGCCCCGGCAGCCAGCTCCGTGTGGTGGGGCTGCCGTGGGTCCCAGGCTTCCTGAGCTCAGCAGGGTTGCTGGAGGTGCAGTGTCAGCCCCAACCCCGTCTTCTCCTGCTGATTCCCCAGGGGCTGTGTCCTGCCACGTCAAGCCTGTGCTCACCAGACTAGTCCCTGGGCATGGGGCTGGGACAGGCCCATCCTGGACCCTCCCTCCGCCAGCTCTGCCGCCTGCAGCTGTGGCTGCCTGCCCCCAGACAGAGCAGGCAGATGGGCGGCCACAGGGAGACATGACAAGGAAGACAGCACGGCCAGCCCAGGCCAGCCCAGGGGACCTGGCCAGGAGGGGAGGCTGAGGGCCTTGCCGGCGCAGGACAGGCGTGTGGCCCGGGGCCCGGGGTGCAGGGGTGTGAGAGTGTGTGCGCGCATATATGCATGTGTGATTATGTGGGTGTGCATGAGCGTGAAAGTGTGAGCAGGTGGGAATGAGGGCAAGGGTGAGTCCATGGGCAGACAAGCGCATGTGTGCAGTCTGACCTCTGAGTGTGAATTGCAGTACTGTGTGTGTGCGAGTGTGTGAATGTGTTCGAGCGTGAACATGAGTGTGTGTGTGCGTGCATGTGTGTGTGTGTGTGTGCACACAGCAGCAGCTTTTGGGAAGGCTCCGACCCGAAGTGGCGGGGAGGGCGCTTGGGGGTCGAGGGCGGAGCAGAGCAGCTGCCCACAGGCCTGCCGGCTGCAGCCCTGGCTCTGAGCAGACGGCCACCTGCCAGGCTCCTCTCAGCGCCCGAGTCCTGTGATGTCAGCGGGCAGCGGCCCCTTTCCCTCCTGCCATTGTCCCATGGCTGTCTCCAGGGACTCTGATCGCATCACGCTTTCTGATACTTCATTCCTTCCCGGCGGTTGATGCCTCCTGACTGGGCCCAGTCAGCCTCTGGCACCTGTTTCTTGCGTCTTTGGCTCTGCAGCGGTGTGGTCACCACAGCAGATGCCAACACTGTACCCCTTGGGGACTCCCAGGACACCCTTGGGAGAGAGTGGGCATCCCAGGGGTGTCTTGAGCCCCAGGGCCCCTTGCTGCAGGGCCGAGGGCTCCCTGGCTGTGAGCTCCCCACCCCACCACAGCAGTGGCCGCGCATTTCTAGAGGCTGGCTGTGGCTGGGCTGCCTGGGTCGGCGGGCGCTGGAGCCCACTTGTGGCCTCGGCGGCCGCTCTGGGCCAGCCTCACTGTGACACAGTTGGCGCTCACCTTTACCCTCCGCATCCCACCACAGCAGCCTCTCAGAGCTAGGGCCATCTCCTGTTCCCACCCTGTGTCAGTCCCAAAGGGACAGCAGGCACACGGGCCATCCGGGCTCTACCTGCTCCTGCACACCAGTGCTGGCATGCACATGCGTGTGCAAGGTGCCCTCCGCTCAGGGCCACTGCTTGGTGTCCTCCTCGGGACTGGCCTTGCTCTCCCACCTGTCTGCCTGGACACGGGTGGGGCCCGATCTGACCCTCCAGGTTCCCCCACCCTTCCTCTTCCTCCCCAACAGTGGCCCCTCACTGACACCCCAGGCCACAGAAGGGAAGTGGGATGCCATGAGGCGGAGAAGGCACTCATGGGTGGAGCAGGACCTCCCTGACTTCGGGGGAAGGAGGTTTAGTGTAGAGGACCTCCTCTCCCTGGAGTTGGGCCCAGGAAGGGGATCTAAAGAGGGAGTCGGTGGCGCTGCCGGCCAGGCACGTGTGACTGAGCTTCACATGGAGTGAGGGGTCCACAAGTGCCTGGGACCCTGCCCCAGCTCCCAAACCAGGCTGGTGCCCTTCCAGTGTGTGGGCCCAGGGGTGGCATCTCCCTGGGAGCTCAGAGGGTGATGTAGGGGGTGACAGCGGGTGAGGGTGGGGCATGTGGGTACCTGTAGATGGGGTCCATGAAGAAGGGTGAGGGCTTGGCGTAGTGCAGGGCTGGCTGCTGAGGCAGCTGCGCCGGGCACACTGTGGGCAGCCCCTCGCCAGGCCCAGGCTTCCGCTCGCCGTACACGTGGTTCTTGCGGGGCTCCCGGCTTCCCCCATTCTGAGTGGCGCGGGCGCGGCTGCCAATGCTCAGGTCCAGCGGCTGCTCCTCACTGGACACGGGCACTGTGGGCGCCTTGGGCGCAGGCAGGATGGGCTTCGCCTCTTTGGGCTTGGTGGTGAGGTCGAAGGGGCACTCGGCGCTGGGGCCACCCGCCTTGAGTGCGTCCCGGGGCGACTTGGGCTCGGCCTTGACCAGCAGGTTGTGGGCGAGGGCGCGGTCCGTGAGCGGGTAGAGGGAGTGAGGGAAGCTGGGCAGCAGCTGGAAGGGGAAGACAGAGTGGTAGGGCAGGGAGCCCAGCTTCTTCTCCTGCATGCCCATGAAGCCGGGCCCGAAGTACTTCTCCGCGATGGACGCGATGGCTTTGATGGAGTCTCCGGGGGCGCCCGCAGCTGTCAGCAGCTGCTCCTCGGGTGGTGGGAAGAAGGAGTGCTGGGAGTAGAAGACCGGCAGCTCGGCCACGCCACTGGCAGCCCCAGGGTGCGCGGAGCCGCCCCCGAACTCAGGCTTGCCCTCGGCCAGCTTGCCCTTGTCCTTGGTCTTGTCGCGGTCGCTGTCCACGTCGCTGTCCAGGTCGGAGCCTGTCCCCGTGGTGGTGTCCAAGTCCGTACCCGTGGTGGTGTTGACGTCCTCAAAGTCGCTGCCGTCGGACATGTCGGGGCTCCGGGCCTTGACCTTGTCCGCATATGCATCCTCCAAGCGGCTCTCGAACGTCTCCTCTGGCCCCGTGGCCGCCGCAGCGCCCTGGCTGCTGTTGCTGACTGCGGACACGAGGGGCAGGGCGGGGTTGCCCAGGGGGCTGGGCAGCTTGGCGTCCTGGGTGTGGTTCAGAGGGCTCTTGAGCAGTGGGGTGGGAGGTAGCAGAGGCGGCCGGGGGTACAGGGAAGGAGGGAAGATGCCCGGGAAGCCGGGGGTGAGTGCGGGGAAGGCCCGCGGGGCAGCGGAGAAGGGCAGGGCGCCGGGCTGCGGCCGGGCGGGGAAGTACTCGCTGAAGCCCAGGCTCGTGTGGTTGAGGCTGGGGGAGGGTTTGGCCTTGTCCATCATGGGGCTGGGGGTCAAGGGCAGGCCGGGGGTGAAGAGGCCGCCCGGCGGGTAATGGTTCTTGCCCTCGCAGAAGCGCCGGTGCTTGTTGAGGGAGGAGGTAGTACTGAACATCTGCCCGCAGTCCTTGCACTTGATCTGCGTGCGGCAGTCGGCGTGCATGCGCTTGTGACGGCACAGGTTGGAGAACTGCGTGTAGGACTTGTGGCAGACCTCGCCTGGAGCACCAGCAGAAAGCAAAGACAAACAGGTATGAAATGACCCGGGAACCCCGCACCTGGCGGCATGGGGACCCAGGCCCAGAGCAGGCTGCGCGGTGCGCATGCATCTACGTGGGTACAAGGGGAGCACACACATGCCAGGTGTGTGTGTGCACGTCCTTGTGTGTGCGAGGCTGGCTGTCCCTGTCCCCTGGCCATCGTGCAAACAGCTCGAGCAGCACAGTGGAAGTGGTGGGCTCGGCCACCCGGCTCTGCGGTCCCTGGAGCTCACCTTAGCGACATCATCCAAGAGGACTTGAAAGCCTCGCTTGCAGGTGTGGGGGCAGTGCCTTCTAGGGCTGCAGTTTGCCACGCCTTCGCTTGCATTAGTACACCCTGCTACCACTCCACACAAACACGCATACCTTCCCCAGGCAGCCTCCTGGCTGCCCCTGCCCCTCACCTCACCCAGCTCGGCCTCCTCGGCCCTTCTAAAGGGCAATGATGGTTCCCGGGTGGCACGAGGGTGGTCCTCCCGTGGCCAGCTGCCCCCTCTGCAGTAGAGAGGTGGCTGGTGGTGGCAAAGCAGCCTTTGTACACTGGCCAGTGGGCAAGCTTCCTCACCTAGGGTCTCAAGCTTGGGGCAAAGCCCTGGGCTCTGGGCCCAGCAGTGTGGCCAGAGCGCCCGGCCTTTATGCGTCCGACAGCCTCTGTTTCCCTGTCTGCCAGCCGGAGCAAGCAGTGCCCTGATGTGTAGGGTTCTGTGAGCTTGCGTGGAGCATGCTGACCCGGCTCAGTGCTGGGGCCACGAGTGTGAGGACCGGTGTGTGTGCACAGGTGTCGTGACTCAGGATGACGCACGTGACACGGCTCAGCCTGCATGTGGCTCTGTGCATGCGTGTGGTGGCTCAGTGCGGTGCACGTTCAGCGCCCCTGCATGACAGCGGGTGGAGTTTGTCTGGCACAGAGCAGGGGGGGCCTTGGCTTCCCCCCAAGCTTCCCCGTGAGCCTGCGGCACAGGATGTCCGTGTGATGGACACGGGCCCTTCCCGGCTGAGGCCCTGGCAGATGAACCCGACAAGAGTGCGCAGATTCCTGGCATGGAGAGCACAGCACCAACAAGCCTGTGCAGAAATCCCGGGGCCTTAGGCCACAGCCACGGGCACGCTCCAGCCAGGCTCTGTTGGCGTGAGCTTTGTTCCCTACGACTGCAGGGACGCCATCTGGGAACCCTACTGGGCACTGCCGCTTGGTGCTCAAGCGCAAGTCCCCGGGAAGCCCTGCGTGCATAGCGCTGCTTGCCTGCTTTCTGTCTCAAACTGGGCAAGACAACAAGGCTGACCAGTGACACCAAAGCCTGCAAGTGGTGGAAAGGCTGCTCTTTGTCCTTTGGGATTTCCACCTGAGTTGAGCACAGGAACTCTCAGCGATGGGGACAGGATGACTCAGCGCCTGCCGAGAGCTGACTCGGCACAATGCCCTCAGCTGGGCTCACACAGACCTGCTCCTGCTGACCTCTGTCCCCTCTCTGTCCATCCCCCAGTCTGCTCTGCAGGCCCCGGGGCTCAGCTGCTGGCACCTCTCATCACATACGCAGGGCAGCACCCACCCAGCGCTCTCTGAGGCCCTGACCCTGCAGCGCTGTCCCTGGGCCAGTGGGCTGCCACCTTGGTCAGTGCTTGCCAGTCCCCTCCTGATAGCGTGTGAGCCCCATGAGGACAGGGGCCACTTCATGTGTGCTGTCCCTCGCCACCGTGAGCAGCGCCTGCCACACACAGGGCTCTCCAGGGAACGCTGTGCTCGTGGTGCTCAGCCAGGGGGTGTGAACAGGGTGCACAGGCGCTGGGTCACTCAGTGGCCCTTTCCACCACCCGCTGCCCACTCAAGAGGCCAAGGGAAGGGACCTGGAGGATGTCGGCAACAAGGGCAGCATGAGAGGCGGGCTCCAAGGGCACACTGTCCCTCGAGGGCGCCCATAGGCTGCAGGGACCCACGGCCACACCGCAAAGACATCAGGGGGCCGTGAGTGCGGAGGGGACCCGGGACAGCACACCCAGCTCATCACGTGTGGGGCAGCGGGCAGTGCAGCGGGCATGGGCGGGCGCAGGCACAGGCGCAGGCGGGAGCAACTCACATATGAAAGGCTTGACCGTGCTGTGGATGTGCTTGTGCTGCTTGAGGCCTGAGGACGTGGCGAAGGTCTTGCCGCAGTCTGGGCAGGCGTGCGCCCGCGCGCCCACATGCTGGGAGCGGATGTGCCGCTGCAGGTTGCTGGGGTCCGTGAACACCTGGGGGCAGACGCCTCAGGTCTGCACCCTGCCTGGACACCTCGGTTGGGCCCTGGGCGGGAGTCCTGAGCCCGATTCCCTCCCTCTCTGCCTTGCTTGCCCGAGCTGACCAGCACAGTGTCCGCTGAAGCCCTGGCCCGCTGAGGGACTGGGCAAGCGACCACGCCTCCCCAGCCTCAGTTTTCTCAGTGGTAACTCCTGAGAAAACTGCCCGTGAGGCTGCACAGTCACAGGCGGAGACCAGCTGAGCGCAAGACCCAGGACCCAGAAAGTGTGGCTCTGGGAGTTCAGCCCAGCCTCTCCCGTCTACACTGGCAGAGGCCAGAGCCACCCTCAATAGGACTGGGGTCTGGTCTTGACCCTGTCCCTCTGAGCTCTGTGACCCGACCTCTGAGACCTCCTGTCCTCCACAGTCACAGGGAAGGACACCTGTGACCTCAGGGGCAGGTCACGCCCATGCTGGTACCTTCACGCAGTTTTCACATTCGAAGCGCTTGCCGTTGTCGTGGGACATCTGGTGGCGGATGAGGTTGGACTTCCAGTTGAAGGCCTTGGGACATTGGTCACACTTGTACTCTCGCTCCTCCGTGTGGACAATCATGTGCTGCTCCAGGCTGTGTGCAGGGGGCAGGGGTCACTTGTGGCCTCTGCCTGCCCTCTGCCCAGGCCCTGGGGCCCCAACCCCACCAGGCTCATCCTGGACAGTCCTTTGGGCCCAGCCAGAGGCAAGGTTCCCCATAGCCCCCGACGCTCTGGCCGCCCTGCTGAGTGACCCCAAATTTGAGGTCACCCTTGGGTCTAGAAACAAAGGGGTCCAGGAACTTCAGCACTGCCACAAGCCCCAGAAAGGTGGGGAAGCCTGGAAGCCCAGCTTTCTGAGTGACTTTGGGGTGCCTGTCAGGGGAGCCGGGCACATGGAAGAGGCCAGCAGGGCTGCAGAAGAGGGTCTTCAATGTATGTGCCAGGAGCGCAGCTGCTGGGGGCCTCTCTTGGCTGAAAGAGTGGCTTCTAATCCCCTCCTCTCGGGGGACCCCTGCCAGTCCCCCGCCCCGTCCCCGGGATGACCGTTAATCTTCATGAGTGAAGCAGTAATACATCACAGCCTGTTAATTACGGGGCCCGGCCATCCATTTAGAGCAGAGACGCCTGCTTCTCCAGCATTGGAGAGTGTATCTTTTCCCTGTTGTTAATTGTGATTTATGTGTTTATGTAAAGAAAACAGGGACCCTCTTTAGAGGTGCTCACCGCGCTGGGCTCAGTGGGAATTTGCCCACACGCTAATTTTCTCAGTCATCTGTTCAGGGCAGAGGGTCTGCTGCCCCGGGGGGCCGGGGTTGGGACGGACGGTAAATCTGACCATCACGGTGGTTAGTGGCCTGCGGGGGTTTTGCTCTGACTCTGTCCTGGAGGAACCAGGAACCTGAAGAAGTTCCTGGCTCCTTGGAGCATAGGACCGGGCCCCCAGACAGCCCAGTGTGCCGAAGGGGCGCAGGGGCCAGGTCCAGTGACAAGGGGACCCTGGGTGACCCCTTCCTGGGCTGGCTCACTGACTGACTGAGAGGGAGTCGCGTGCATGTGTCCAGAGGGGGGGTTACCCCGGGAACCTGCAGCTCCGAGGTGCCACAGGAGGGGCTGGTCCGAGCCATCTCAGCCAATGGGGCGGGGCGGTGCCAGCGGCCGGGGCGCACCTGTACTTGTTGGGAAACATTCGCTCACAGTCCTTGCACTCGTGCGCCCGCCCGTCCCTGCCACTGCCGCCGCCGCCACCGAGGCCCTCGGGCTTGAGCTCGTCGTCGCCCAGGTCCTCGTACAGCGCGGCCCTCGCTGAGCTGCACGCGTACTTCTCGTGGCGCCGCAGGTCCAGCTTGCACTGGAAGAGCTCGTCACACTCGTGACAGCGGAACGTGGGCTCCTCTGCAAACAGAGAGGGGAGGTGATGAGGGCAGCGGGCCGCGGCCGGCCGCCTCCCTTCCCACGGGGCCACGCCCACCCCGCGCCCCTGCCCCTTCCTCGCAGCTTCACCCCGGCCCTGGGCGGCTGCGCAGGAGGTGCAGGGCGGGAACCGGCCTCCTCTCTGCGGGGGGCCGAGCCCCAAGGCCCCTCCCGTGCCTCAGGCAGCCTCCTGCCCAGGAGTGGAGAAGGAAACCAGGCCCGGGGCTTTGTTTATGAATTAGGAGAAAAGAGGACAGAGCTCCAACTCGTATAATAAATTATTGTTGTCAAGGTCAAACAAATTAAAAGGGGGGCGGCTATTATTAAGTTTACAAGGCAGCATCCTGACCACAATGCCAAGCCAAACAATCAGCCTGGAGCTGTAATCCCTGTGGGGGCGGGGAGGCGGGGGAATCTCCTCTCCCCTGCCTGCGGCTGCCTACACAGCGGCTTCCTCTGACATGGGGTCCCCACTGGAGGGCACCCTGTGTCCAGCCCAGGCCTGGAGAAAAACACCTGCTCCCAGTTCTTGCCCTGAGAGGCAGTATGGTGAATCTGTGCGTGAGTGTGCGCTGTGAATGTGCGCACATGTACAAATGTGTGCGCACGGTGTGGGCTCCCCGCCTACCCGCCAGGCCCATGGGTATGCACGGTGTGGGCTCCCCGCCTACCCACCGGGCCCGTGGGTGCGCACGGTGTGGGCTCTCCGCCTACCCGCCGGGCCCGTGGGTGCGCACGCTGTGGGCTCCCTGCCTACCCGCCGGGCCCGTGGGTGCGCACGTCTTGCACCTGCATCCACGCTTGTGTGAGTATGCATACGGATGTGCATGGATGTGTGTAGGTCTGTATGACTGCTCTGGGCATATATCGATCTGGGCACATGTTGTGTGTTCACAGCATGTAGATTTGGCATGTGTGCTTATGTGTGTATTTCCGTATGCATGCATGTGCGTGTGGGGCTCTATCTGCATATGTGTGCATGCTATATGTGTGATTGTGTACTGGGTGACTGGTGTGTGTGCTGAGTGTGTTTGTGTCTTGCTGTGCATAAGGGTGCATGTGGGAATGTGTGTGTATGAGTGTGCACACACAGGCCTGGCCCACACCTGGCACTGAGCAGAGCCTTAATAAACTGTGGCTGAGTGTTGGCTGACAGGGCCTGAACCGAGGCTCAGTGGTAGAGGCAGGCACAGGAGATGCGCTGGACAGAAGAAGGGGCCACCTGGGGCATGGACGGTGCAGGGCCTGGCGGCATGGCTGTCACCAGGCAGTGTCACCACCTGCTGATGGGATGCGTCCCAGAGCCCAGGCTGGGGTTGCTCTTCTGGTGCCATCTCGGGCCACACTTAGTGCCACTACTGATGGACTCTGTAGCGCCCGCCCCAAGTCATGGATGCTCAAGGCAGGGACCTTGGGGCTGGGCTTCGAGATGCCACTGCAGGGCTGCTGGGACATGCCTACCCTGACACTGGTGCCACTTGCTAGCCTGGCTGCATCTTAGGCAAAGGGGCAGATGTCTGGTGGCAGAGAAGTGCTGCTGGGTGTCTGTATGGAGCCCAAGGAGCAGATGCTACCCGCCACCCATCAGATTTCAGCGTATGGGTTCTGTGGCTCACCAGAGTTACACCCAGACCAGAGGAACAGGCAGCAGCAGCAGCTCAGAGTTGAACAAGCCCAGCTCTACCTGCAACTCTGGTGGGCGGGGCTGGGAGGTGGGCTCTGCCCTAAGGTCTCCAGGGAGGAGAGTATTCCCTGGACAAGCTGAGTGGGGAAACCCTTCTGGGCCCCGGGCTCATGCTAGAGTGCCAGTGGGCCTCGGGCAGGCTTGCGGGTGCTGCCTACCGATCCAGTTCCAGCCTGCCACCTCTTTCAGGAATCTGCGGGGAGTATAGTGCACATGAAGCCAGCCTCTGAGGCTCGTGGGATTCCTCATGGGCATGCATGTGTTAGGCCCTGTGTCCCCACTTCATCTCAGGTCAGCAGTAGCCAGGGAGAGGAAGGACCTATCCAGGGGAGAGGCCGAGCGTTGTGTCACACCAGGCTTGTGTTACTGGTACACAATACAGTCCTGTGAGCATGTGGGGTGCTCGCCATTCCCCATCCACGCCTCCCCTTGTCATCAGAGGCTTAGACTTGCATTTGAGGGACAGTCCTGGGGGTCTGAGCACAAAGTGCCGCTCACACTGGGCCCTCTGGGCCCTCTGGGCCCAGTGAGCTGCTCCCGTGGGCTGCAGAGCCCAACCAGCACTGAGTGAATCGGAAAGGCCCCTTCCTGTTGGGCCTTTTCGGGGCCCAACTAAAAGTTATCGGAGTTGGGATTTGACCCCCGACGTGCCACGCTGGCCCCACCCCGGGGGTGCACTGGGACGGCAACCGAGACTGGGATGGCGGTGCTTGCCTGTGATCCCTGCGCTCGGGAGGCTGAAAACAGGAGAGTCACTATGAGTCTGATCTATGTAGCGAGGCCCTGTAGACCCTGTTCTAAATGCAGAAAAGAAGAAAAAGAAAAAAAGAAATGCCGCTTCTATCTATCAACTATTTCTTTCCTTCTGATTTGGAATTAAGATTTAAAATAAAACTTTTGGCACTGGAAATAACACTCAGAACAATTCCAGCTGCTGCCCTGGTGGGAGGCAGCCCAGGACAGTGCTGACCTTGGTGACAATCATGCCCTCTTCCTCCTTGGGCTCCAGCCCTCCGTGGAGGGTCAGGGCAGGGGACATGCCCTGCCTAAGCTTTGCCACGCAGGTGCTGGGTAGCTGGGTCTCCCAGCTCCACGCAGGCAGAGAGGGTGGCCTTGCTCGCCCGGGCCTGCTGTCACCCTGACACCACATCTGGGTGCCTGGCCATGTCACTCGACATCTTCTGGGCTCCCACAGCCCTGGCGTCCTCTTGGCTTTCTGCACAGTAAAATAAGTTGTTTGCGGCTTTTGAAACAGAAGCCAGTGTGAAGGCAGACGTTCCTTCATTTTCTCCCCAAAGACAGCCGGGGGAGGGGCTCATGTGGCTTCCCTTTCTCAGCCACGGGCGCAGCAGCTGGGCCACGTTTTGGGTTTTGGTACTAGAGACTAAACCCAGGGCGTTCTCAACCAAACACCTCCCCACCATCACCCCGCGCGCCCTTTTTTATTTTGAGATGTGACCTTGCTGAGTTGCCCAGGCTGGGCTGGGCTTGAGCATGTGACCCTCCTGCCTCAGCTTCCAAGAGTGCTGGCTCTGGGATGGTGCTTCTAACAGAGCCACAGCTCTGTGGGGCTCCCTTTCCCCGGCTGCCTGGATGTGGTCCCCCTCGAGTCCCCTTCACCCCACAAACACACAAAAGAGCGATTCGCTGGAAACTGAACCCTCTGGATGCAGATATGGCCAGGGTTGCAGGCCAGGGCGGAAGTCCCACCTCCCACGCGACCCAAAGCACACCACGCCGCAGCAGCCTGCGTCTTGCCTGTCAAAGCTGGCCCTGGCTTGTCTAGCTTAAGTTCCAGCAGCAACTTTCACGGCCGAGCAGGAACATAACAGAAAAATAAATCAGTGCCTAATGGCTTTGCGAACCGAGGGGTTCACAATTATCCAGCATCTACATGCTAATCTTTAACTCCAACCTCAAAAGAGCTCAAGAGCTACTCCAAATTCCTGCAGGGATAAGGGGCCGGCTGCATTTAGCTGGGGCCGGTGGAAAAGATTTTTTTATGATAATTATCTTAGTGAGGAGCGCTTTTGCATTTTCTTTCTGCGCAATTCAGAGTTTAGCTGGGGGTGGGGTGGTCGCTTGGAGTCAAAGAAGCGACCTTGACAGCCGAGGGAAGAAAAGTCAAATATTTGATGTTGGACTATTATGGGAAGCAATTAGCCCACGAGCGTTTGATAGATTATTAGGAAAATGGAGACCCAGGTTATTTAGTACTGGGGGTTGGGGCCTGTGGGGAGCAGGAATTGAGGTTTTTAAAAACCTTTTGAAGAAAGAAATTTCATTGTACAAATGAAACCCCACAGCCGAACACTCTCTTTAAGTTAAGCAGATTTATCTTCTGGAGTCTCGCGTGTTCTCCAAGACTCACAGGTCTTTTCAACAATTATTTTAAGGAAAATGAGACCCCTCTCTCACTACCCAGGTTTTGGCAATTTATTTTTCTTTTCTCAACAGCCTAATGAAAACCACGCTTTAGCAGAAAAGGACAGACAGGGCCCAGCTGGTGACATTGTCCTTCTGTGCTGATTTCCTTGACAGCTCAGGGCCGCGAACCGCTGTTGCGTGGGGGAGGGGCTCTGGCTGCTGTAAACTGAGGCAGGGTTCTCTGGGCCTGGGCTCAGCACCCTCCTGCCTGCTCCCTGCGCAGCTGTGACCCCGCCCTGAGGAATCAGAGTGGCTCTCGGGGAGATGGTGTTAATCATTAAGCCTGTGTGTCAGCGGGCAGGGCAGACTCTGTGTCCCTTTCTCTCTGGCGTGAGCAGGAACTGTTCTGGGGACAGCTCAAAGGAGAAGGGCTTCTCTGTCCACCGGTAGGGTCTCAGCAAAGGAAGGGTGGTCACACATGAGCCCTGGAGCTGCCTTCCTTCACCCCCCAGGTCCAGGACCCTGTGCTTCACCATGTGAGGAAGGAGCCCACGCCTGTGTTTCAAAACTCCAAGTCTAGCTGTGGTGGCACTGGCCTGTAATCCCAGACTCAGGAAGGCTGAGGCAGGAAGATCACAAGTTTGAGGCCAGCCTGTGCAATGCAGTGACTTAGTGAGGCCCTGTCTGAAAATCCAAAATAAAATAACTGGCTGGGGATGAAGCTCAGAGTGAAGGCCCTGGGTTCAACCAGTGCCCACTACTGAGAGAGAGAGAGAGAGAGAGAGAGAGAGAGAGAGAGAGAGAGAGCCCAGCCCCTGCTTTGTGTAAGGCTGGTGCTTTCTCAAGCGTGTCTCAGAGGTCCTTGGGCGTGGATGGACAGAAAGGGACTCATGGTCCCAGCCTGACAGGCAGGCATCGCAAGGAGATTCTGGAGCTCTCTAAGGCCAGGAAGAGTTTAGGGATTCCAGCCAAGGTCTCTCTGAGCTGTCCCCAGAACAGTTCCAGCCCACCACCAGGCCGGGCCCAACCCTAAACTGCCTCCCACCCAGTGAAATTCCCTCCAGCACGTCTCCTGGCTTCTACCTGCCGACGGGGGTTGCTTTCAGAGACATGTCCAGCACCCGCCTCTCTTACAGGAGAGGGAGCTTCCCCACCACACAGGGCCGCGGCACCCAGGCTGCCAGGCCCCAGACTCCGCTCTTTCCCATTCTCCTCCCCTCTTGCTTTTTGGTACTGAGCAAAGCTGGTAATGACAATGATGACATAGCTTAGAAAGTTCACCCGGAGCTCCCGCACTACTAGAGACATCCTCCAGCATGACCCGATCCACGCTTCAAACTCAGGTCACAGCTCTGGGGTCCCAAGGAAGGAGACACAAGTCGGTGGGCACTTTGTCTATGCCCGGGTCTGGGGGCAGCTGCTCGGGTGCCCGTCCCCAAGTCCTGTGCGAGGTGACAGGCGGCGGGTGGGCGGGGCCTTACCGTCTAGGCCAGGTGGCACTGCGCGCAGCGAGTAGGCGCCTTCCTTCAAGTGCACCAGCAGCTCCTCGCCCGGCTCGATGTCTTTAATGACTCTGTAATAAACCTAGGACGAGAGACCGGAGCAGGTCAGGCCAGCCCTGCTGGTCCCCGTCTGCAGAGGCACTTGGCGCGCGTCGGGGAGGCCGGGCTGCGGGCCACTTGACCCGGCTTCTAATTGCCACTAAGAGGTTCCCCTCGGAAGTTCTGCAGCACACGCTCAGAAGGACCGGAGCCCCTTGTAATTGGTCCCATCCTGTTCTGGGCTATTGACAGAGAGGGCACAGAATTAAACAGGCAGAGGTCAGGGTCGGCGTCCCTTCCTGAGTGTCCTGGGAGCCACCCCCGGCAGGAGGACCTGCCACTGGGACCTAGGCTGCCTTTCCGCCTTTCTCATCAACGCAGCTGAGTGGGTGCCCTGTGCCAAGGGCAGGCTGGCACGGGCTGGCATAGGCCCCCACTCAGTGGCACCACCTTGTCCTCTGAATCAGATGTCCCTGGGAGGTGCTGAAACGCTGACTGCAAAGGAGGAAGCTGGCAGCTCAGAAGGGAGTCCACATCCCTGGGCGCTGCAAGCTGGGCCTCGGGAAGAACGGGCTTCCTAGGGCCCTGTGAGGCTCAGCCTCAGCAGACACCAGCAACACTGGCCATGCTGGGCACGGCTGAGCAGCACCTGCCCCACAGGCTGGAGGTAGTGGGCGCTTGGGGACATCAGCTGCCAGGGTCAGGTGGGCGCATGGGGCTCCATCCTGAGGCCAGGAGCCAGGCAGCTCCCAGCAGCCCACAGCTGGCCCAGGATCGTTGGGGCTGGACGGAGGCCAGGCCCGCTGACTCTTCTGCATTGTCCTCATGAAGCAGGGGCTGGGAAGGAAGGGGCCAGCAGAGGGAGGGATATTCTCCAAGAAGACAGTTTGGCCTGGATACAGGGGCGATGGCTCCAAAGGTGGTGCGGACCCCCAGGCCAGCTGGGGCTGAATCCTCCCAAGGGAGAAGCCCTGGAGTCTGACTTGCTCCAAGTGGGGGCCGAACTGAGCCCCAAGTGGCTGCCACCCCAACTGTGGACTCTGATAGGCAGAGTGGCACCGTGAGCTTCCCACAGGCACACCACGGACACTGCAGCGGGCCCCAGAGCTTGCGGGCCACCATCCCAGGACCTTGACCTACATTTCAGAATAAGAACTAGACCCTCAGCACAGTGGCAAGAACCACTGGGGGCTGGGGACCAGGCCCTGGGAACTGCAGGGCCACGCAGGCTCAGTGGGAACCAGTGCATTTGCTTCCGATGGCTCGACGTGGTCCAGAGCAGGACAGGGTGGAGGGCTAGGGCAGGGTGGCTCTCAGCCTGGGTTTAGGGTCACCTGATCACCACTGGCGAGGCCCAACATCCAACTGGCCTGGCGATCCTGGCATTGGGCCACTGCTGCCCTCCTGGGTATCTCCTGGGACCCCACCCAGTGCCACCATGCCCCTCCCCTACCTTCTTCTCTCTGGGCTGCAGGTACGGCTGGTGCCCACGCGCCCAAACTGCCTCACTCCATCCCCTCTGAGTGGTGCAGGGACCCCAGGATCCCAGCCCTCCATTCTCAGCTCTTGGGCCTCCCAGGCTCAAGAACAGGAGGCATGGGGACCTTGACCCTGGGGGTGCCTAGAGCACAGGCCCCCCCCCCAGTCTCCTTCCCCCAGGAACCCTCGCCCCTCCCAGTGCGTCCTTTCGCTCCCTGAGCTCATCTGCCCTTGGGGCACCCTCGTTCCTCTCAGGGCACCTGTGGGGTGCACAAGGGGATACAGAACAGCAGCCCTAGCTGAAGAGACTTTGAGCCGGGACAGAACGGATCACTATCAGTGCCAATCTCAGGGCCCAGGGAGAGGTGGGCGCTCCATGGGAGGGGTCCGCAGGGTGACAGGCCCTGCCTCGCTGAAGGCCCCTAGTGCGCGGATCCAAAAGGCCTGAAAGGGTTTGTGGCAGGATCCCAGGAAAGCCCAGCCTGGACTCCTAGGACAAAGGCCAGCAGGACCAGGCCAGAGGGGCTGGGTGGCTCGCAGCTCCAGGGCGGTGGGAACAATCGCTGTAGACGACCAGTGCCCTCACGCCTCCTGCTGGCTTCACTGTGACCCCCAGCTGCCAGCAGGGCTGAACTTTCCCAAGAAGGGAGGGAGTGTCCAGGAAGAAGAACCCCAGAGGCTGCCTTCTGCCAGCCTGGAGCCCCAGGTGCATCCTGGAGTCCTCCTTGCCGGGATCTGAGGGCAAGAACCTCTTGGCAACAGCCAAGACCACTAGCACCAATAAATGTCGGCTCTAAATGGCTCTTAAAAACTAACGATGCCAAGTGGACAGGGCCTGCTGCTGAGCCCCGCTGCCTCCTCGGCTGTGGTCCGAGGAGGCAGCGGCTGTGCTGAACTTGGGCGGAAATCACAGAACAGAGGTCCTTGGCTTTATGACTGAGCTCGGCACACCCCGGACTGTCCTCCTCCTCTTTCACCATGTTCCAGGCAAAAAGAGGAGTTCCTTGGAGGCAGAGGAGCCCGCCTGAGGGTGAGCAGGTGGCCCCGCTCTCCACGAGAGGCAGAGAGAGGCTGCCAGAGGAAAGCCGGCTCCGCACAGGACCGGCGCCCCACACACGCTGAGGAGCCCGCGACACCGGCAGTGCCTACTGCATGCGGATGGGGCCTCGTGGGGGTTCCTGGGGCGTTTCCATAAACGTCAGATCAGTTGTCAAGGGCAGACACTACTCTGGCCTACAGGGCTCTCACACGGTTCATTCCTACTCAGTTTGAGAATTGTTCGCATTTTCATTACGCCATATATGCCCAGAGTGCCCAAGAGGAGCAGACTGCAGCCTCAGCGTCCAGGGGTGCAGGTGGGGGGCGGGGAGCGCATCTCCTCCCGGACCCAGGATTCTTTCAGTCCGTCAAACGCACTCCCACCCAACTTTGTCGTTCTTCCTCTTGCTTGACTCCTCTAAGAAGCT